TTCGTTTTCTCTCCAGAGTAATTTACTCATTTCCTTTAATTCTCAATTTAATCCTTTTGACTGCTAGAAATAATTTCTTTCTTTTTTTTGTGCAACTCAAACTTTAGCTTCTTTATCTGTCTTTGTAGCGAACTAACTGTGTTGTTTGTTATCTTTGGTTTTTTCTGAAGTTCAGTTTTTTGTTCATTTTTTATGAATTCTTATAGAGGTTTTTTCAGAAGCTTGTTTTCACTTAAAAACTTTTTCAATAAGTAAACCAACTTCTAAATCAACTTTTTGATCCCAACATGCTAAAAAGGATCAGCTAGAAAAAAGAAAAAAAAAAACACAAAATGGGAAGAATGAATACAAAAATGATAAAGGAAACTGAAACTTTATGGCTTGCTCATTTTACAAACTGGCAAAGACCTAAAGAAGCCGCAAACTGGAAATCACTTTGAGTTGGCTGCAGCGACGACCAACGCATAAACAAATCAATTACATCTTACAGTATTCAGTGGAAGTGGAATTTGAAGTTGAAGTGACGGCCACATCAATGGAAAGAAGATTGGAATGCAATTCGAGTAGGTCAAGTATGCACAATAAATGCAACACAAACCAAATACAGGAATTTAAAGCAACTTCACTTCAATGACAACAATCATTGCAATGACGGCAAGGGCAACTTGAAAGGCAACTTGGTAATGGTAATGGCCACCATTATCATCATCATCAACATCAATTCATGCCACAATCTTCAACTTGAGAAAATAGCACAATTTGAGGACAACTTGATAAAAGACTCTTTCGCCTTAAAGATGCTATCCTCGAAATCTATTTGTGAAAGTATAACGTTGTTATTGTACTGCTTCGACTGCGACTGTCGCTGCTATTGCTGCTGTTGCTGTTGTTGCTGCTGCTGCTGCTGCTGCCATTGCAATTGTTGCAATAGTAATAGCATGTATCAGGCAACAGCAACAAATGCAAGGACAACTTGAAAATCAATTCAATTGATTGCTGCTTCTCAAATATTTCCCATTTCACATTTTACATTGAAATTTTGTATCTCTGATACTCGCTCGTATAATGTGTTCGTTGGTGTGATTTCTTTTTCCTATTTATCTTTGTTTTACTTAAGTTCCTTTATAAAAAATGATTGTGATAAGAGTAAAAACAAACAAGAAATAACAAATAACAAATAACAAACAACAAATAAATAAATAAACAAATAAACACACAAACACAAAAACAATTGCAATGAAAATTATTTGTAATGTTTCATGAAAGGACATAAGACAAATGCACGGTTCCTTTGCGTATATTCACACATATATATAGGTTCTATATATCCTCATGTATACATTACGTATGCACTTTCACTCGTTGGCATAGATAAATAAACATATGCAGACAACTTCATCGATACAAATCGCAAATACAAGCGGAATTCTCTTACAAATATTGAAAGTTGGCTTGAGTCACAGTGGCGTGCGTTGGGGAAACGAAAAGCAATTATGGTTTTATTTAAAACATTCTTTGAACTCCATGGATTGATAGTAAAACAAAGGTTGTTTTACTACCTATTTTATACTTTCAGCTAAGGTAGATAAGAAGTAAATACTCACTTCACACAGCAAGACTTACGTTGGTTTATGGAGCTGCATTAAAAATCAGTTGAATGCAAGACAATTTTGTATTATGTTGTGGTTGGTAGGAGTATACTCTTTCAGTTCAGCGATTGACTAGAACTTTAGGCATAATTATGGTCATTAAACAGAATGGTAAAACCAAATCAGAGTAGATACCGAAATTGTCAATTTTATTACAGTATATTTTGATGCATTGGTTATGTGGTTTCGACCCAGGCATCAAAATGCAAAGCTCCTTAGAGAAAATATAAAACAAATACAAATAAACAAGAATTCCTATCTAATTTTGAAATAGACGTATGAACATTTTTTAATACCAACAATTTTAAAATGTTATACACTATATACCGTATTATGCAGCATACATATTTATACTTGAATATGGCTATTGTATATAAAAAAATACTGTAATATGTATAAGGGTATTGTATCTTTGAAATCGTACAGAAATCCAAAAAAAAAATTTATTCCACTACACATATCAACACACGATACACATTTTTCTAAAAATGAAAATAAAAAAATAATAATAGTAAAAATAAAAGAAATAATAATAAAAATAATAATAAAACTCAAATAATAATAAAAAAAAATAATAATAAAAATAAAAAAAAATAATAATAAAAATAAAAAAAAAATAATAATAAAAATAAAAAAAAAATAATAAAAATTAAAAAAAATACTAAAATAAAAAAAATACTAAAAAAATAAGATAATTAAAAAAAATATATATAAAAATTATTAAAATTAAAAAAAAATTACTACAAAAATAAATAATTAAAAAAAAAATATAAATATTAAAAAAAAAATAATAAAAATAAAAAAGAAAAAATACTAAAAAAATAAGATAATTAAAAAAAATAAATAAATAAAACAAACAAAAATAAAAAAAAATTAAATAATTTGACATTTAAATAATTGACATGTACCAGTTTAAGCCTGGCAATTACAGTCCAAATAAATTATATATGGATTATAAACTAATTAAAAAGAAATTCAAATATTTTCTAAGACCACCGATAATGAGTACTTGCCAATACTTGAAACAGCGTTGTATGGTTAGCCAAGTTTTAATAAATTAACTAAATTTTTGTTCTTGTCTTTTTTTGCTATTTGACCCGTAACTTTTATATAATTTTTTTTTTCATTAAGTCGCGTTACTCTCGGCAAAAACATAAAACTAAATAAAAATTTAGTAAGAATGCATATAAGAAAACATCAAAAAATATATATACAAGAAAAAAAAATACACAAAAAAAAATTAAAAACCAAAAATTAAAAAAAAAATAAGAAAAAATAAGAAAAAATAAAAAAAACGTAAACAAAAACATCAAGAAAATAAAATCAAAATAAATGTGTTTCAATAAACCGTTAATATAGTTTACTACATATATTCAGGAAGAAACTTTTCAAGGAAGAGTGGTTGTTTTGGGTTTCATTCGAGTGTGACTGTCTATTATTTATTTAGAGTCTATTGTTATCCTATCCTAGTCTATTGTTACTCGTATCCTTTCAGACTATATTTTTCTCTTAAATTGTACCGAAAATTATCTTAAAATTCTCCTTTCAGCTAAAATAACTTGGTGAACTATAGGCTTACTATATACTTGCTCTGAAGATATTTACTTCAAAGTTTGCTATATATTTGCTATATAACACAGAAATTTATAACAAGTATATTATATAATAAAGCTTATAATTATAGCTGTCTGTACGATACACATAGTATTAAAAGGTTTTGTTACTCTTTAGAAACTTAACAGCATATAGACGCCCATCATCACAACAATTTTAGTTATAAATTTATGTTATAATTTAAATAATAAAATTCTATATTTAAATGTATATCGTTCGATTCATAATTTTGGCTGCCATTGCTAAGACAGGCTCTTAAATTTGCTTATTTCACAAGCATACATAGTATTCACAATCGTACTATACCTAGAGACAGAATATATCAGTTTCAATCCAAAATTCAATTTTAATAAATAATTTAAAAACACATTTTTACAAAAAGTGGATATATCATGAAAATAATAGAATTTTCAGAATATTAGAATAATAAAACAGAATATTTTCTAACAACTTGACGTTTCTTATGTCTCAAACTAATTTCACTACGTTCATATCCTATGTGTACACGCATACTACATTATATATATAATCTGTATATTTTGCATATATATATTTATATATACAAATACAAATATATATATATATATGGAGTTTTTTTTAGTATTTAGTACTTACCTGTATTTTATTTGATTTTAAATTTGTTGTACGAGTATTACAAAGAAATTTATAATAGGTACGTATAGATAAAGCTTATAGCTATGGCATTTTAATCGTCTGCCGATACACATATACATAAATTACTATATAATACATTTATTATATATTTTTTATTATAGTGTTTTTGCAGGATAATTTGTTAAATTTTTTATTGTTGTTAAAAATAAAAATTAAGAAAAAGAAACCACCTTTTATTTTAGAATAATTTTTAGTTAATCGATATTTCGACTTTAGTCTAAAGTTATCAGCAGGACACTATATATATAGTTTTTATATAAATATTTTTTTTATATATTTTAAAAAAATTTCTGCTGGTTTTTCCAAATTTGTTATATTAATTCTTTGGCCGGATTAGGTACGCCACTGTTATGTGGTGTAAGTTACTAGGAAAATAATAGGAAAAAATTTGTAAAGAAAGGAAGATAAAAATCATTTTAAATGAAAACAAATTCAATGGTCAATTTATTTGCAGTTTCGTTTTTCACATCGTTAGTTATTCCTTTATGCCATCAGGATTGCTTTTTTCTGTTAGTTTTTTTTCTTATACGAATGTAAAGTTTCGTGATTGCTTGATTTTTGCATTGTTTGAGATTCCTTTTTTTTTTGCAATAGTTGAATGCAATTTGTAAAATAAATTGTTTCAGTGCTTATTTATCATTTTTGTATACAAATGTATTACCACTCAAACATTTCAGTGTAGTATTTCAGTGGCGATGAATAAGTATTCCAGAGTATATTCCGTTTATTACTATAAAATAATGCTATCTTTCATAAACAATGCTCATTAATTCAATTCTTATACAGATATTTTAATTAGCATAAACCAACATCTTTAACCACTATTTTCCAACACTGTTTTATCTTTATGCCCGACAATATTTTTCTTATCTCACTTTAATTAATAAGACAATTTGGTCTATGTTTTTGTAGGTGTGGCATGCATAATTCATCGCAAATTAGCGTAATGGAGATGAATGCTCAAATTTGTGTCATAATTCGTTAATTTTCATAACACTTAGATAAACTTAAGTAAATGCATATAAACTACAGTACTCGCTCATTAAATAAAAACACACTTACCCGTCAGCGCCGAAAGCCTTCAGCTCGCGATCCAATGTTTCCTTGACGTTTTGCTGGGAATATAAGCCCATGGGTGAGTTGAATTGTTTATGCACGAGTTTACGTTGAACAGCGGCCATTTTTAATTAAATTTCTTAAGTGTGCGTGTGTTTGAGTGTTTGTGTTGTTGTTGTCTTATTAGTTGGCAAGTGTTGCTTTTGTGTTGTTAGCACAAAATCTACAGAAATTTAGCTACAGAAAAAAAGAGTGTTTTGGTGAAAGTTGGGCTATACTCAACGCTAATGCGGCACAAATGAAAATGCTAGGATATAGTATATATTTATGCTCGGTATATGGCACAAGGCAGGCTGCTAGAATGATATATGCTTAAATGAGTAACCTTTTCTGGCTATTATTTTAAAAAGCTTAAGTTGGATTTCTTTTTTCTTTTTTAAACGAAATTCTGTTTTATTGTGTGAAATATTTTGAAAAGAAGCAAGAAATTGCAAAATTATTTCGTTATTTAGCGTTACTCAAAGATTTCCTTTAGATAGTGTGATAGAATCCCTTATATGCAAAATGATATCTAATTTTTATTACTAGGTTTTATTTCGTTTTTCGATTATCGTTGGTGAGTTCGTTCTGAAAATAAAAGAAAAGCAAAGAGATTAGTTAAATAATTTTTAATATCAGTTTAATGCAATATTAATCATAATAATACAAGATGTACAACGAGACCAGTAACAAAAATTGGTTTATTTGTTTACAAAAAAATAATAATAAATGTGATAAAAAACAAATTATTTTTTTAACTTAATAATTATAACATATAACTTTAATATAACTTTAATCTTTATCATATTTGATTTTTTTCCTGCATAGTTTTCATTAATATCTTAACGTTTTTCAAGTCTATCTATACATAAATCTATAATATATACCTATACATTTGAACTGGATGTACCCAGTTTCATAATCTTTCCATAAACCAAATTTCATGAGGTAGTATCTGTGGTAAATTTGAATGTAATTACATTCTTTAGCACTTCATTATTGCCGAACATGTTATTTTTTTCTTAATGTTATTTTATAATTTTGGGAATAACGATAAAATACACGACACTGAATCCTAAAAACTTGACGAATTTCTTCAATCTGTTAGGAACACGATAAAATTGTTTGATTGTTTCGCAGTGTCGGCATCTCATTATTGCCAAAGACAAAAAATTTTTTCATTTTTGGTGTCAGGTTCAAAGAATATGCTCTTAAACGAATCTCCAGTGATATGGAAGCATAATAAAGTTTTTCCTTTTCAGCAGTGAGAGCTCCTGATTATGGCGAAACACCCTTTTCTCTAATTTTTTACAGAAACAAAATTTACTGGCTGTGATGTCTAGAGAATATGGTTCTTAAACGATTCCTATGAAAGCATAATAAAGTTGTTCCCTTTTTTCTTGCAGTGAAAGCACCTCATTATTGCAGAACACCCTTTTCTGAAATTTTTTTTATTTTTTTTTTAAACAGAAATCACATGGTGCTTGGTCCGGAGAATATAGTGCGGGAAGAATTTTTTAAAACCTTGAAAGCGCAATGAACTCGTCTTCTTATTCAGCAGTGTGTTTTGGCGAGTTATCGTAATGAAGAAGGTATAAACGCATATTTTTTCTCGGTCATCTATGAAGTTTTCGAAAATTTGTAAATTGGTTTCGTTGCACCATTTAGCAGTAAAATGTTTATCAGTCTTCAGAGGAATAACAGCTACAATTTTTTCTCGATGAAGTAAATTGACATCTTTACTTTGATTGCTTAATCCTCTCCTGCTAGGCTTTGTCTAGTGTATTGGGATCTCTGGGCTCCACACTATGACGATGGATCGATAGCTGATGTGTTTTCGGGTCGTAATTGTGAATCTAAGATTAAACAGGGTCATTGCATTTCCAACAGGATTCAACAGAAAATATTTAGCAAAGCACACACGCACGAAGAATTCAATATACTGATATCTACGGGTAATCAAGATGATTGCTAACAATTGACGATAGAGCAATCGTGGGTCAACCCTTGATTGTTATAAACTTTGGACTTAGTTGAAATTTTTTTTTTATTAATTTTCCGTTTTTTGTCTTTCATTTGGATTGCTTGATGCTTTAAATAAAATATTGCAAAATTATCACATATCGGGTGGCACTTTTTGATTTGCCAAAAATTCATTCCCTATTACTAACTAATCGAACTCTTCTGAGCTCCTCGGTATGTGTATAAGTAACGAACTTATACAATTTATATATATTTTATAAATATAAAGTAGATATATTGACTGTAGTAAATAGTAGATGAAGCAATATGATAATATTTGGAGATAACTATATTATGTTACTCTGAACGAAGTCTATTCATATAACCGCAAATTTAAAAATTTTTTTTTTCTTATATAAATATAAAAACAATTTATACAAATTGCTAATAGTAGTTAATTTTATATATTTAAATAAATTTTATTCTTCTGTTTTTTGTTGCTGAATGAAACCTTTCAAAAATTCCAGCTTATCAATTGTTTCAAAATGTACGTCAAATTTCCAAACGCTAGTTTCCTTTGCATTGCGATAGATTCGAATTAATTTATATATGTCATTATAGTATTTCTTATGAAGTGTTTTTTCATTTTGTTTCCTTTCTCTTCTGCACTCTTTCTCTTTTATTAAAATTTCCGCCACTCCCGACTCTAATTCTGCTGTATTGTCTAAAATATCTTTATTTATTTTTATAAGAGAATTGACCCATTCCTCATAAGTCGCTAGTGTAACCTTAACAGATCCGTCGTCTACATTTTCAACAAGACGTCGCTCGTATATTTGATTTAACTTATCAAGTAAATCTGTTTCATCATATAAATCTTCGATTTCTTTTTGTGTCTCACTTTTATGAATGTTCGAAGTATTCTCGTCTTCTTCGTTGTTATCGGTACTGGTCAGCTGTTGGGTGTCCTGGATTATGTCAGTTGGAGAGCAATTTCCAGGATTAGTAGTGATTTCAGCATTAGGAGTTACATTTTCAGTTTCAACATCTATATTTGGATTTAAAAAAATTGTTGCAGGTGTTAGGCGAAAAATGGGTCTGTTTCTGTTCATTTTGTTAAGAATAGATAAATTTCGTTTATATTGAGACCCACAACTATTTAGGGTTTCTGTTTAAAAAATTTTCAAATTATATTCTTCATATTGGAATTTTATTTACATATATTTTTATATACAAAAACTGAATTGTTTATTTTAATAAAATGTCAAAATTAAAATAAATATACAAAATTACTTAAAAAATAATTTTTTTAATAAAATAAAATATTTTAACAAAAGCGAAATACGTATAAAATACAAGTACATAGTGTAATATTTAGACTATTCTACTACACTCCATAAATATGCTGCAATAAATGCAATCTTTTATACAAAATCCATACAAAAATTGTATAAAGACACGCTTTTTTTTATAAGAGGTTCAATAAGTCCAAGTATAAACATAGAAAACGTATAATAACATGTGTATAAAAAATGTATCAGAGTATGTGTCTATATGCTTAGATTATATAAAAATGTTGTATTTATTCTTTTACAAAAAAGATACTCAAAGAATTAAATTATATTTTATTATACTATGTCATTAATTCAATTCAGAAAATTCATTGGTTGCTTATATCGAGACCTTAGAGTGAAATATATTGATCCACATTGATATCTAAAATTGATTGTAAGCAACAGTAGGTTTTATTGGATCCCAAAACCTGCAAAGCATTCCTAGAATTGTTGGTAGATAATCTGATAAGTCATGATGGCTTTTATGGCCATTTCAACAAAATGGGCCAGTCAAAAGAGACAGGCCCATTGATTTTACAAAAAAAGTTACGAAAACGCCAGTCCCATTCATTGTTACTATCCGGATATAAACTTTGTTGCAGAGAAACTACTAGATTCGAAAATAATGTCATTTTCCAGTCTGTGCCAGTCTGAAGAGACAGGCTCATTGATTCTACAAAGAAAGTTACGAGAACTCCAGCTCCATTCATTGTTACTAACCGGATATAAACTATGTCGCAGAGAAACTACTAGATTGGAAAATAATATCACTTCTTATGTTAGGAAATTTTTAACGGCAGTGATTTTGGCTATCAACTAAGCCAGAAAGAAAATTCTGGATCAGAAAATATTATTCTATGTTGATGTTCTGAAATTCTCAAAGTCAGTTTTTTTGGTTTTCTTTCTGTTCAGTTGGTGTATCTATCTTTTGATAGTACAAAAGATTTACTATAGTTACAGTGATCTGTTCCATTGACAGCAGAGTACAAATAATTTGTTAGAAATACTATAGAAATCAACCACTTCTATTATTGACTCAATTACTTCTATCTACAACATAATATATATGTAGACTTTGTCATATGAACATAAAATATGAACTTTAATGCTAAAACTGTTTCGCAATATTGTTATTAGAAGCAAATAATAATATCCCAAATCACATAGCTCAGCCAGGATATAAGAAAAATAATTAAATGTAAACAGAACTAGTTGAAAATAAAGCTTTATAACACATAACCTACTCTTTACCACAATGGTAATAATTTTATTTTGCATGTGAACATTTATTTAGTTGCATTCGAAACTGTGTAATTCAGTGCAGTTTTATTAAAACATGAACTTTATTGAATTATTATTGTTGCACATATGCACTTGCATTTGCAAATGTTATGACACGTCGAGGCAGTGTGTGGAAAGGCAAAATTGCTTCATGAAGCACAACGTTTAGCTTACATTTTCAAGTGTACTGTACAGCGCATGCAGTAATTGTTGCAACTGCATATCAGTCAATGGACAGGCAGCCACCTGTTGTTTAATTATTGACAAGTGAATTAATTTAATTGGTAAAGTGATAAATTTTAATTGAATTTTACAATAAAATGAATTTGATAAGCTCAAAACTTGCAAGCACGTCCTTAAAATTATGTAATTGCATTAAATGCACATTGCAACTGGAATATGTGCTGCAAGCAAGCAATATAAATATCCTTGCCAGTTGATAGTGCATTCTGGCATACTTTCACATACGACTGTGTTTACTGAACATTTCATTGAAATATAAAATTATTTGCATTCTTTTAATTATTTTACATATGTTTGCTTTATTAATAATTTTAATAAATATTGTTAAATCCACTAAATTATTCTTCTTTAAATTCATTCTCATAGATTAATTAAAATAAGCACGAAAGAAGCTGTATATCCTTGACCAAAACAAGCACATATGGATTGTATGTGTTCCGGGTTATGCTGGAATTTCCGGCAACGAAATTGTAGAAGAACTTGTCAGAAAAAGGGTAGTCTGGCTGTTTGTAAGACCGAAACTATTGTGTGGTTTGGGAGAAGGCACTTTCTACACATCAATTTTAAAATAAGCAGAAAAACAAAAGAAGCTGTTCTGAAATAATCTACTAGTACTATCACAATCGACAACAACTTATGAATCTAGAACGATTTAAAGATTTTTGCAACTAAGAAAAAATCATTTAAAACCCATCATAGAAATTCTAACAGGACACTGAAGATTAAACTTTCATTTTACAAAACCGAGAACTTACTCCAATGAAACTTGCAGATTTTGTTAAGATAAAATGAGACTTAAAAACATGTGTTGAAAGTTTGGACGGCACTGATGTACAAGCGAAAGAAGTACCTATGGTCAACTCTTATCGGATGAGGAATTAAAACTCTGTAGGTAATACATGATTAATATTATAATTTAAACATGATTTGGAGAAATACTATAAGTAACTTTTTATGTTGGAGTATCCTCAAATATCTAATATCTCTTATGTGGTACCATATATTTCTGTAATCAAGGTACATAAATTAAGCAAAAGTTTCACCATAACAGATAATTGAAGGTACTTAAAATTATAGTTCAATCAAAATTTATTTAGTTATTTTTTAAGTAAACCTTATTGAGAGTAATACAAGTAAGCCAACACTTGAACTAATTTTCAACTGTATTTTATCGACTGATATCGATAAGTCCTATAACTGTTTCTGCGATTTTTTTTGTTTTTATGGCAACAACTGACATTGCAGACTTCCGTTTAATGCTTTCTGAAGAGGAATATCACTAAAAGTAAATTTTTTGGACAACAATGAACTATAGTTATTAACTATAATTAACAACTATCACTTCTTGATCGAATGTATGTAGTATTTTTTTTGGATGACTTAGATATAAATTTAAACTCCTGCAAGTTGTTTTTTAGAGCCGTGTTATACTTAAAATGAGAATCATTCTTATCTCTATCAAGATCTCTAGCAAGATTACTGCAATTGAGATGAAATGCTTTCAGTGAAGTGGTGAAATTGTATTAATTTCAAAAACAGAAGATACACTTTCTTTTGTTGTATTTAAAAGTTGGCTTTATTGGGTATAATCCACTATATCAGCGTTTCACTTAATCCCCCTCTACTTTTTATCGGCATTTTAGGGTACAGGCTTCAATTCCTACATTCATTATTTTATTCTGATCACAAGTGACTGGTAACTCTTGCATTAAGTGGTAATATTAGCGTAGGGAACAGAAAAAATATATTGCAACTATTGTAATACTTAATCAAATCCGAAAGCTTCTAATATTTTTGTTAGCTTATATCTCTTTCAACTCTCTCAAAGATTTTTTTTGATCACAAACTATTTCCAAAATATTTTCAAACTATATCCAAAACAAAATTCAATTCTGTGTGATACACAAACATTTGTTTACCGCAAGTCTACGAAAAATTGAAAACAACTAACTGAATTTGAAGGAAAGTCTTCCTTTACCACGCCAATGCGAGTTGTCACATATTAGCTTAAACAAAGCAATTTTTTAAGCACTCAAAATGTCAAATTGATGTGTCATATATCTTACATTTCCGACTTCACACATAGTGATTTCTTTTTGTTTCAAAACATTAAGAAAAAAATGCTTTGGGAGCTTTCTTCAGGGCCCGAACAGACTGTTGAGACGTTTAAAACCCTGATTTTGGAGATAACAAATCAAGAGTGGCAAAACTGTTTCGAAAATTAGTTCAATCAAATGCAAAAATGTATGGATTATCACAAAGAATATCTTGAAAAACAATAAAATCAAAGTTAGAAAGGTTCTAATAGAAATGAAAGACAAGAACAAAAATTTTTAGCTTTAGTAAATTTATTGAAATTTGGCTGACCATGCAACGCTGTTTCGATTATTGCCAAGAACTCATCATCAATGGTCTTAGAAAATATTTGACTGTTTTAATTAGTTTAAAGTCTGTATATAACTTGCCTGGAACTAAAATTTTTGCTGTTGTCTTTCATTTCTATTCGAACCCTTCTAACTTTTAAATAGTAAATAGTTTTTTTAAATAAAAAATTAACATTAACAATAAAGTCATTTTCCTTGATTAAATGTTGTTTTTCCATTATTAGACGCCAAGTTTTAAAAATCAGCTCTCGTATATATGGTAGGTATTTGACTGTGTTTACTAATCGGTGAAGCTTAGTTTAGTTTTGAGTGGTAGAAAAAAGTTACTCTTTAATAAGATAAGAAAGATAAGAAAGCTAAAATTCTCTGATAAAAGCTTGATTAATTGTGATAAGGAAAATATATATTGGCCATTAAAACTTTTTGATATATTGGATATTTTATTAGTGTAGCACTAACTGTTTGTATTCAATGTATGTATAAAAATGTCAATTGTTTAATTTAAATTTTAACTGAGATTTATATACCAGTACGATTTAAACGTTTATATGAAGCAATAATTTATCATTTTCACACTTCCATCTCCTAAAGCGAATAAGTGCTTCCTTGCCTAAGTCGACCGACCCGACCCGACCCTCTTCACAGCTTTCCTTTGTGCATGTAGTCAGCTTTACTCAACTTTAGTAGATACAAATATAAGTCATATGCATAACTATCCGAAAGGCATATAAAATAGTAAAATAAATATTTTAATGAGCAACTCTGTTGCTGTAGTTTCTGCTTATGTTGCTGACGTTGTTGTTGGCGTTGTTGCCGCTGTGGTTGCATTAAAACATATCCTGCAGCATATGTAAGAGTAACACGCGATAACAAGCACAACATAAGCGAGCGACATTTTAAACTGTGCTTCAATTTCAGCAAAATTTCCACACATTTTCTCGAAAGTCATTTAA